GGAGAGGCAGAGAGAGAGGAGGTGAGAGGCAGAGAGTGTGTGTGTGTGTGGCTTTGAGTGCAATCGATGGAGAGGGAGAGAGAGGCGGTGAGAGGCAGAGAGTGTGTGTGTGTGTGTGTGTGTTGACTGAAAACGAAGAGGGAAAGATGGGGAAAAAAGAGGGAAAGATGGGGAAAGAGGGAAAAAGAGTTGGGTAAAGGAAAACAATTAAACAAAAAAATGCCTTGTTTTTTTAAAACATTATATTCGGCAACAAAAATAAAAACGTCGCGATTTAAAGTTTTTTCTATTTTATTTTAACTTTAAATGTGGTTATAATTTAAATGTTGCGACGAAAATAAAAAACGTCACAAATTAAATTTTTATTTTTTTTTAATATTCCCGACAAACTTATAAATTTTCCCGACAAACTTATAAATATTATAGACAAACCTATAAAAAAACGTTGTTAATTAATATTTTTATTTTATTTTTACTTTAATAACTAAAATTAACATTCTACGTCGCAAAATATTTTCCCTAAAAATATTTTCACAGACCAACGTTACTTTTTTCCCTTTTTCCACATTATGCCACGTTTATGTATTTCGAATACAATAAGTATAGAAAATCACCAAAACCTGTCCCTTCCACAATTCTTCCTCCCACAACCTGTCCAATACCTCTGCCAGATTTTCACTTGGGATTGGGTCAATCTGCAAAACAAAAAGTGAAAAATAGAAGAAAAAAAATTCAGGGAAAACCCCTTATTTTCTCTGCCGACATCTACCAAAATGACACTCAAGACAAAACAGTTTTTCAAATCCACAGAGTAATAGTTAAGGAACATGAAATTAGACACCCCAATCCACTAATCCTAATAACTTAACCAAGTCATTGCAAATATTTAATATGTTTAAATTAACATAAAATATGAGACTCACAAGAATCATACAGAGTCCGCACTTTTATGTGGAGATGCAAAAACTCACCTAGTAATTTTCCATTGGGATCTTTACCTCAACAATGTGAGGGTAGGAAACGATTTAGTTCAAGAGTGAGGGCAAGAAACACTCCGATTAGCAGGGGGAGGGGAACAAAGAGAATAGCGAGGATGAGAGAGAGAGAGAGAGAAAGAGAGACAGTACTGTGTGTGTCGACTGAAATAAGCACAAAGGGAGATATTTCAGAAAGTGAGAAAAAGGGAAAAAAAAAAAGATGGGCAATGGATTTCAATTTATGTACGTAGTATTTTTTTTTTTTAATGTCCAAAACGACGTCATTTTGAATTTTTTTAAAAAATTATATTATACGACGAACATAATGTCGTACTTTAATACTTTTATTTTATTTTATCTTTAAATGTGGTTGTAATTTATATTCTGTGACGAAAATAAAAACGTCGCAATTTAATATTTTTATTTTATTTTATAATTTTTTTTTCAACAAATTTTTTTTTACCAAACTACAAAATTTTCATTTTTCGTCATTGCTTGCGCAAAAAAAGAGATAAAGAATGACAATTTTGCGACGAAAAAAATTCGTGCATTAAATATTTTGACTTTATGTTAATTTTAATTTTACCTTATTTATTTTTGCGATGAAGAAAAACTATATGAGCCAAACAAAAATTTTCTTCTAAAACATTATCAATTCCCGCCATTTATCCCCCAAAAAAAAATTATTCGGGAATCACCTTTTCGCAACGTTTTTTGAAAACGTCGCAAAAATATTTGCAACATAACTATTTGCGACACAATTATTAAATCGTCTCAGATAGTACATTTTTTGCGATGAAACAAAAACGTTGCAATTAATATTCTAATTCTAATTTAAAATTACAAAATAAATTCTAATTTGCCACCAATATTAGAACGTCAAGAAATCATAATTTTATTTAATATAAAATGTAAATTATATTCTACGACAAATTTTTAAAAACGTCGCAAAAAAATACCTATTCCCGCCAACATAATAAAAAACGTTGCTATTTAACAGTAATTAAAATATATATTCTGCGACGATAATATAAAACGTCGGGAATTAATTATTTTGACTTTATTTTGATTCTGATTCAATATTATTATTTTTTTGTGACGAATTGAAACTATCCACGACAAAAAAAAAATTATCGCAAAAAATTTTCAACTCCCGCCCTTTTCTCGAGCCAATAATTTTTGGTGGGAATCACCATTTCGCGACGTTTTCTAAAAACGTCGAAAAAAATTGCCAAATAAACTATTTGCGACAAAAATATGAAATCGTCGCGCAAATTCTAAAAACATTGCAATTAATATTTTAATTCAAATTTAAAATTAATAATATTTTTATTTAATATCAAATAAAAATTATATTCTGCAAGGAATTTATAAAAATGTTGGGTTCTGATCTTTTTAACGCAAAAAATTTTTTGGTGGGAATCACCTTTTCGCGACGTTTTCTAAAAAACGTCTCAAAAAATGCCAAATACGCGCCAAAAATTTGGTGCGAATCACCTTTTCGCGACGTTTTTGTAAAACGTTGCAAAAAATTGCCAAATACACTATTTGAGACAAAAATATGAAATTGTCGCAAAAAATTTAGTTTTTTCCAACGCAAAATAAACACGTCGCAATTAATATTTTAATTCTAATTGAAAATTAAATTCTAATTTCCGACGAATATTTAAACGTCGCGAAATAATAATGTTATTTAATAAAAAAATTATATTTTGCGACACATTTATGAAAGCGTCGCGAAAAAATACATATTCCTGACAAAATATTTAAAAACGTCGCAAATTAATATTAATTAAAGTTTATATTCGACGACGATAGTATTAAACGTCGCGAATTAAATATTTTGAGTTTATTTTTATTGTTAATTTTTAATATTTTTTTATGACAAAGTAAACTATCTGCGACAAACAAATTTTGTCGCAAAAAATATCAACTCCCGCCATTTTTTTTGAAAAACGTCGCAAAAATTTTTTGCCAAAATCAATTTTTGCAAGAAAATTATGAAAGCATCGCGGAAAGTTCATTTTTGCGACGAAAATATAAACGTTGCAAAAAATTTCGTCGCAAAAAATAATTTTTGTTGTAGTGTAATTCCAATAGTGGTTTAGTGCCCATGATGCAAGACATGAATTTGGCCGAGGAGCATTTTGGAGGTTTGTGACAACCTTAAATATTAGATAGGTCAGTTGTCGGGGTCCTGACAGAAACATTGATACCACTATGGGAGGCTTTGTTATGGTTCCCCTCTATTATATGGAACCTTGTCTTCTATATGTTTTGGTCATACTGACATTCTTGCTTTCGGATAATCGCAGATGACTACGATTTTTTCGTACTTTTGAGGATGCTTAAACTCAATAAAGTGTCGAGAAATTTTGGCAAAAGAAAGACGGGCAGGTGTTTGGCTACTGAGGAGTTGTTGAGGTTGGCTCATAAGAGGGCAATACCTCTTAACACCAAGATTTTAGGAGACCGAGGCTGCTTATGTGAGAGCAGAGGTAGAATGAGGTCGAACTTGTAAGAGACCAAGGCTGCTTGTGTGAGAGTAGAGGTAGAATGAGGCCGAGCTTCTTACAATTTGTGGAAAAGCCACTAAGCTAGAGACATAGATTACTTGAGAGCAGAAACAAGATTAGGTTGAGCCTCCTGGTGACTCGCGAAAGAGCGTGAAGCTGGAGACATAGACTGCTTGAGAGCAGAGACAAAGTGAGGCCGAGCTTTTGACAACTCTTGTGAGAGCCTCTAACCAAGAGACATAGGCTGTTTGCGTGAAAGTAGAAGCAAAACTAGGTTGAACTTTTGGCAACTCTTGTGAGAGGCACTAAGCTGGAGACATAGACTGCTTGAGAGTAGAAGTAGGATTAGGCCGAGCTTTCTAGCGACTAGTGAGAGAACGCGAAGCTGGAGACATAAACCACTTGGGAGCAAAGGCAAAATGAGGCCAAGCTTTTGGCAACTCTCATGAGAGCTATGAAGCTGAAAACATAGGTTGTCTGCGTGAGAGTAGAGGCAGGAAGAGGCTGAGCTTTTCGCAGCTCTCGTGAGAGTCGCTAAACTAGAGATATAGGCTGTCTACGTGATAGAAGAGTTGGGAAAAGGCCGAGCTTTTGACAACTCTCGTGAAAGTTGCTAAACTGGAGATTGAGGTTGTTTGCGTGAGAGCAGAGGCAGAGTTAGTCCAAGTTTTTCTAGTGACTCGTGATAGAGGTGCTACGTTGGAGATTGAGACTATTTGTCTAAGAGCAAATGCAGAGTTAGATCAAGTTTTCTAGCAACTCGTGAGAGAAACAATCAGTTGGAGATTGAAGTTGCTTGCATGAGAGTAGAGGTAGAGTTAGGCTGAGATTTGGGCGACTCAGGAGACTCTCTTCCAAGAGATAGAGAGGACAATGAAGGTAGCTAGAGGGTGCTAGCAGGATAGAGTTGACGGTGCATGGGCATCGAGCACGATAGTCGAGGTCACTTGATGCGCCAAGAGGGGTGACACCAGACACCAAGACATTGTTGGATTAGTTAGGCAAGTGATATGGGCGATGCGCCAAGGCAGGTGAGGAGGCAGGCGCTAAGGAAAACCTACGCACATGTGCGGGTGCATGGGTGAGAACGTCGGGTGCAGGCACCACTCGTCACGGGCACTGCTGCGCACGGGAGCCAGACATTGGTTCGTACGGGGCACTGGGCGCTAGGAAAAAATGCCTATGACCCATAGTTACTCAATTTTTACTTAGAGAGGATCGCTTAAGGAATCCATGGAAGACTCTCTTGAAGCAGGAAGTGATACCAACGCAATGGACTAGTTGCGCAGGTGGTCTGGGTGACGCCGAGTTGGTGGCACCAGGCTAGAGAGACGAGGGCAAGACAGGTGCCAAGTGAGGCTAAGCAGGCACCATATGAGGCAAAGCAAGCTCCAAGCGAGGCAAAGCAAGCACCTGGGGAGGCAAGGCAGGTCAGTCGAGGCAGCTAGATGCCAAGTAAGGTAGGTTGGTCACTCCATACAGATGCAAAGTGGCATCAAGCTGGGCGATGCCTTGCAAGCGCAGAGGAGGCACCAAACTACTGCCAGGGGCGCTAGGCACTGAAGGTGTGGGTGCCGAAGATGTGGGCGAAACCCTTGGAGCAAGAGCCGATGCCATTAGCAAGCTGGGTGACGCTGTAGTAAGCTATGTTAGTGGTCAATTGGGTGACGCCCATGGAGTAGGAGGTGACGCCAGTGGGCCATTTGGCTATGCTAGAGGCTATAATGCTTGTAGGGGCATTGGTCCAAGCAAATTCACTACTAGTGTTGAGGTGCTGGGCGACGCTATGGTGGTTTGGGCGATGTAGGTGCGAACGGCGATGCCAGCTGGGCGACGCCAGGCAACTTGGACAACGTGTTGGGTGTTGGAAGCGTGGCCAATGAGGCAAGGCGCAAGGCAGGCGACACCTTCGTGCAGCTACCAGTGGGTGATGCCATTGCGCAGGGCAGTGCGCGACGCCTTCGGTGGGGGAGCAGTTGAGCGGCTCAAGGCGTTGGGTGCAGGTGCTTGGCTAATGCCAAGAACAAGGTCTGGGCGACGCCAGGAGGGACTAGAACTCACACAGGGTTTGCTACTGGCGTTGTTGCTGCTAGGTTGAGTATTAGACAATGATGAAGAAAATGCAAAACTTCGAACGACCATAACTTTGCTCTCGGTCGTCCGTTTGAGAAGAATTTTTTTTTTTTTTGAATCTGGATATTTTTTTGAGATGTACGATAATCAAACTCCTAAAGCCGGTTTGGGCACCAAATTTTCCCAAAAAATGTTTACTTTTAACAGAATTTGATTTTTAAGTAAAATTTTCTCATGTCTACTTTTCGTCGGTGGTGGCAGGACCTTGTCATGATGTGGCGTGACATCTTCTGCTTGGCTGTTCATGGATCTGGTTGTGATTTCCATTGAAGATAGGAAGACTGTGGGTGAGAATCAAATCGATTCCTCACAGACGGCGCCAAACTGATGATACATAAAATAAGCTTTTGCACAATTAATAGTTGAGTGTATGATTCATAGTAATTGATGAAGCAATCAATAAAGTAATTAATGAATAAGATAGAGATTGGGTCAACACAAGTAATACACAAATATATAGTGATTCGGTCCAGGGGATCTACTCCATTTCCAAAGGCGGCAACGGTAGCCTGAGACTTTTAGAGAGAGAGAGGGCAAAGGTAAGCACTGTGAGAGGTTGGGTAGCAAGGAGAGAGATAGATGTGTAAATGGTGTGTAGAGAGATAGGTTACTAGTCCTTTGGGAAGGATAGTTACAGCTAAGGATAAAAACAATTAAAGATTGTCTCAATCTCCGAATAGTGATTATCCTGGTAATTACTCCTCAAGTGTGTTGGTCCTCCGGGGTCTCTTAGACTTCTGGATTGAACTGAACCCATGAGTTGAGATTGACCTGCCATTTGATGATTTGGGTTCAACTCATAAACTACACTCTGACCTAATCTAAATTTGGGTTCAGACTTGATCTAAATCTGAGCTAATCAGAAACCATGGCACAGAAACAAGTGTGGTCTTTCACCTCAATCTAAATGCTTTTGAATGAAATATTTGATTCTTGGCTATGTGGATCCTTCCAACACTTGTGTCCATGTAGTAAAAATAAAACTCGTCCATCCTAATCAAGTCAAAAAAATAAAAAGCTTGATTTAAGAAGCTTTTGGGCATCTTGGTTATTGCTTTTGGGCAATTAGTTCCACTCATCTTTTTATTTAAGAAGCTTGATTTTATTAAATCTTAGGAGATGTATGGTTTATATAGATAGATGAATTGAATATGATGTGATCCTTTTTATTTTGATCTATACCAGTATTACAGAAAGGGTGTGCAAAAATTGCATATTAACTTTTTTTTTGTCAAAAGAAATGTGTATTAACAATACCATAGTTTTAACGCTTTTTGAAGGTTTAATACTTCATTTTTGAGAAAAATTAGAGAGATGATAACTGAACAATGTATATGTCAAGGAGTCACTGTGCCATTTTTATAATGTGAGGGGTATTAGTGTTACTTAGTCAAATATCAGAGGATGTAGATGAAATTTATCATTATTTTCTTTTAGCCATCTATCATTAAAGGGTAATGCTAGTTGACTTAAAAAATAAAAATGATAATCACAACCATTAAATATGTAGTGAATTTCAATAAACATTAAACCGGTGTAGAATTGTTTATCATTAAAAAAAGGAGATCATTCTGGTGTGGGGGTTATCCCAAACCGTTTTCATTAAAGTTTCAGTAACCCGAACTCAACTTTTACCGACCCACAAGGCTGACCCTCCAACCCAACCCAATCCGACCCGCTTCGCTTCCATTCTCCTTTCTTCTTCCGGGTTGACTACCCAAACACTACCCACCACCACCGCCACAGTAACCCTAACATCTTGAGTCTCTCCTTTTAATCAGAGGCGATAACAACAGCTGAATTCTATCCGCTTCAAATCTTCTCGATTACAGTAGTTCAAAGGGACTTATTCGGATTCTAGAGATGCGGCAGTCAACACTATGCGCGGCAGGGCAAGGATGTAAGTTCAAGCTCGTATTTCTCTCTCATTTCAATGAGTAGCATTCGTATCTAAAATTGTAATTAAACCATCTCTAATGGAAAGTTAAACCTTTACCTAAATTTGAGTTAAAATAAATAAATAAAAAGATTGATTTGGTATAGACCTCTTTGGTCCTTTCCCTTTTTCAAATTCAAATTTAAATTAGGATAAAAAATTCATAAAATTTTTCTCTAATGCCAGACCTATATTTATACCAAATAAAAGAAAATAAAAGAAATTTTTTTTTAAAACTTAAATCCAAGGAGAATCAAATCCTTACAATTTTCCCCAATCGTCCATTAAAGATCCAATGATCTATTTATCTTATTTAAAATTTTAGTTTGTTCTCATTTAAAAAAGTGTTTATCTTCTTTTAATTTAAATTTCTTTGTTTGATATGTTTATATTAAATCAATTTTTTTATTTTTTTTAATTCAAATTTAAATAAAGGTTTAGGTCTCCATGCAGATGGTCTTACACGAATCTAAAGGTCTTTTAACTAAGATTTAAAACTATAACTGATTGGCCAAGCACAAGGGCCTAACTCAAATTATAAGTTCAGTCCGAGTTTATTGTCCATCTCTAAGAGATCTAGCAAGTCCAGCTCACTGCGATCAACCCGGACAAGCTCATCAAGAATCAAAGAGCAACATCAATAGAAAGTATGCAAGGTCATCAAAGAGTCTTCTCTACCACCTTGGAGTAAGGGTCATCCAAGAGCCTCCTCTACGCCACCAATGGAGCATCCATGAGCCTCACCATCACCGCTTGGAGAGGGTCAACCTTCCCTCATTATTTAACCAAGTCTTTTGGAGAGCATCATAACTTCCTTTCTCGTTAAGGAGAGGAGAGGTCGTCAAGCTATTTAATCAATGTTAAAATCACCTCAACCCGTTATATAACTGCTTGATTAGCTATTTAATTAATATCTATTATGAGGCAACTATAAAATTTAAGTCCCGCCAACACTTGGGGGACATGAAACTCATTTGATCATAATTCTCTCATCCCCTCTCAAAGCTTGTAATCTTGTGCTCTCCCTCCAACGGAGATAATAAAATTCCGACGACACTTGCTATTCAAAGTGAACGTAGGTTATATTGACCGAACTACTATAAATTTTGTCTTCTCTCTCCCTCTACTTTACTGCATTTTATATTCCGTAATTAATATGTGGTGTGCAAACCAATTTTGTGCATCATCAATAACTATATATCGAAAATCAATAAAGCAATCTGCTGGTGCTGACCCAAAATTCCTAATCTTTATTTTTGTTGTTTTTTCCCATTGCTAGAATAATTAAGAGTAAATTTCACTGACAGTTCTGGATTTAAATCATATTTCACAGACACCAACCTCTCTAGTTTCCTAAAATATTCTTGCATACCTTTGTCAATTTTTATTTGTTAATTGACCTAACATTATACGGAATTTTACTAAATTACTTTTACTAAAACTCTCATTTTACTTAATTACCCTTACTCAAATTAATACAAAATTAATATATATTTTTATCAAATTAACACCAAATAAATATTTAATTTTATCAAATTAACATTAAATGTTTCCAAATTAACATTCTTTGGTAAAACCATAACTTTTCCGACTTCTTACTAATCCCTAATTCTCCAGTATGAAACCACCTCCTTCGCCCGACTTACTTTTTCCCATGCCCATTCCATGTGGCATGGTGATAGTAGCCACCACTACTCTCAAGCAACCGTTGCAGACTTAATACCCTAGCTCCTACTTACAGCCATCAATGTCCACCGTCTAGTACGTATCCTTTTTTTTTAAAGTGAAATTCTAGTAAGGTTCAGTGAAGAAATAAAGAGATCTTTCTATATCGAAAAATCAATTGAAAAAATTATAGGCAAATTCCTGAATCCCCCGATAAGAATGTGGAGAAAAATCAAAACATAATGGTTCTGCCTACTCAAAACTAAGAGGGGATGCCTGATCAAAGCACTAACGAAATTGTTATATTAGCAAGCTGATTGAAAGGAAGATAGGAGGATTTGACCCATGCAACTGATCAACTGGGTAGAGTTCACGATCATTCAAACATATACGTCTGGAAGAAGAATGGCTGACTCGCATTGTACCCATTCATCAAATTAGCATTCAATTCATCAATTAACATTCAATTTTATCAAAATCATATTAAACTTCATCAAATTAACTACCAAATTAATATTCAATTTGATCTAATTAATACCAAATTAACATGAAATCGAACTTAGATTGTATAAAAATATTATTTTATTTCAGCAAACTAATATTCAATCTCATCAAATCAATATTAATTTTATAAAATTAATACCAAATTAATATTTAATTTCATCAATGTAACTCCCAATTTATCAAACAAACATAATTTTTTTTGATTAAATTTCAAATTAACATTCAATTTCAGCAAATCAATACTGAATGGTTATTCAATTTTATAAAATTAACATTCAATTTTTTGAATTAATATTTAGTTTTATCAAATTAATATTATTTTTAAAATTTAATATTATTTTTAAAATTTAACACCAAATTAGAGGGGGTGTCAGTGAAATATGACTTAAATTTAAGGGTGTTAGTGAAATTTACCCAATAATTAATTACTTGTTTGTTTTGTGAACGAGTTTGCTACTTGCATATTTTCCATGTTCCTGGCAAGACCTCTTATTCTTTTCGGATATAACATCAATAAGCAATGGATACTCTGTTTATTGTAGATGTACTCGGACCATATCCATATTGTTTTTAGGTTTTACCGTATCGGTATGTGATGTGTGCGGTATCATACCCGTTTATATCTGTCATGACTAAGTTTGAAACACACTAATCTCTTGGCCAATATCTGACGTAGGTGACACGCTAACAACGGCTAGTTTTTTCCTTGTTCTTGCATTTTAATTTCCACAAGGTGTAGTGTCTTTTCCTGGCTTGTACAGTGCCGTGGGTGTGGGGTGGTGGTGGTGGTTTTTTGGATTGGGAAACCCGAAAAAGAAGGGGAAGAGGGTCAGTTAGTGGTTGGTTGCCGGACGAAGAGGGTCGCATTTGGGTATTTAAGACTTATCATTAGAAAATCTAATATACCATTGTTCTAATCACGTGAGCTGAATATGGGTCAGTTCTAGTAAAAAAATTGATGGAATTGATACAGGGAGTACATTGAAACCAATTGAGAAGTTGAAGGGCTGACGTGATACGAAATATAATTTGAGGGCCTAATTGAAATTGGTTGTACGGTAAGAGTAATGCTATTTGAACATAAAAATTTGACCTAATTTATTGATATAATGATGTGGCTTTATATGAATTATTAAATCAACATCAAATTTTAATATTTAAAAGGGTTTATGGTCAATCCAAATGTCACAGTAAATTAGATCAACAAATTATATCAGATCCCATTAGCATTGCTCTTTAGTTAAAGTACTCTTAATTCTTTTGTTGTCCTTGGCAATTTTTTTGAAGATGAATAATAAGAGTGAAAGTAGTGGGTGACAAGCACCTACAAATGAAAATTGATTTGTATAAAAGTTGAATGCTGCTACTCTCCAAATAAATGCTTAGATTATCTGAATCTAACAAGTATGAAAGGAAAGAAATAACTATCTAAATGCACAATAACTCACATCTCCTTTTTCAAAATAAGGAAATTCACAGAAAAAATAGATACCAAATCCATACATGCACATATAAATTTGCAGATGTATTAGGAGGCTTATTCTTCCCCTAAACATGGCTGGAAGTGTATGGCTTTTCTAGCAGCTAGTCTGTTTTGCAACGTGTTGGCATTCTCCCACCTCCCTTGGGTTCTTTCCGAATCAAATGGTTTTAGGTTAAAATTTATCCATAGAGATTCTCCAGAGCCTCCTTTATTCGAAGATAAGCTTACAAACCTCGAAAGATTTCCAAGGGATAGCGCCATTTCTCACTGTCGAGCTTCCTATTTGTGGTAGATAGGCAACATTAGGTTGAGAATGGAACCTTTCTTCCAAATACCATCCGACCTGCACTCACCCGTCATGATCCACTTTTTACGGTGGACATAGACCTTGGAACCCCTCCCAGGAAAGGAACCTTGATTTTTGACACAGGTAGTAATCTTACAGGACCCAATGCAAACCTTGCACCAATTGTTCACACAAAAAATATCCTATTTTTGACCCCAAAACTTCCAGATCCTACAAAAGACTCCCTCTTAATCACACTCTTTCCAATCAATTCCGATGTACTTCTAGTGGATGTTCCTACAGTGTCACATATGTAAGTGGACAGTCCTCAACAGGTGTTGTCTCCATGGAGACATTTACCTTCCAATCCCACAGTCGAGTTTCTGATCGCATAAGTGAGTTTTTGGTTGCGGGTTTGATAATCATGGCTCTTTGAGCCCTGATACTTCTGTTAGTGGGCTACTAGGAATGAATAGATCTCCCACATCTTTAGGAAGCAATTAGGCAATAGAATCATACCACGTTTTTCGTATTGCTTGCGACCGTTTGACTCCCTTTTTAAAACTTCATTTTTGAGATTTGGCAATGACATTGCTATAATAGGTGGTCACATCCAAGCAACTCGTCTTCTGCAAGACACTGGCTACAGAATGAGTCTATATGATATTAGCATTGCAGGACGAAGATTACGATTTCCACAGGGGACTTTCAGCAAAGGATGCTCAATAGACTCAGGTGCCTCATTCAGTGTCATAGAACAAAGAGCTTACACTATAATTCTAAGGGTTATTTGCACCGGTGGTCCCCCAAACTATTCACATTGTCTCATTTTAGTCCCCAAAATTTCAATTGCATCAAATTGGTCCCAAAATATTCACTTTGATTTATTTTGGTCCCAACCACAGACGCGTTTGCTGTTTGCCGTCTCCGTCTCCGTCTCCGTCTCCATGTACCATTCACATGAGGGACAAAGTGGACATTGCACCCTACGTCTCCTGCTTAGCCAGTCAAAGGTTGTGATGAATTGCCTCTTCACTTCCATTTCAACGACAACAATGGTGAGAACTCTAACTTAGGGCAAAATGTCCAGTGTTCATCAAGGCAAAATACAAGAGTGATTAGCTTCGTCCTCATCTTCTTTGAGTGGGAATCATAGTGACAAGATGGTCCGTTGCATTAGGAAGGAGAAAGGGAGTCAGGCAGGATTATACGATGTTCCCCATTACGGTGTGTGGTGGCTTTTTATAGTTTTGGGTTTCAGTTTCATGGGTACAACTGAATATAAAATGGTCTTGATGCTGTCAAACAGATTTTTTTATGCAAAACAAATTTTTTTTTTGTGATATTTTATGGTTTATGTGGTTGCTAGAAACCACTTGTTTATGCAATATGAATTTTGTATTTACTTGTTTTTGGAAACCATTAGGCCATGATTCTTCACTTTTCTCAATGGAGGTTCACCACAGTGGTCAATTTACAGAGAGTCCAAACAAAGATTATGTTGGGGGCAAATAAATTATATAGATGACTATGATTGTGAACTGATGTCGCTCATTGAAATGGATGATATAGCTAATACTCTTGGTTATGCCCCATATATTGGATTTTAATACAAACTTCCTGGGTTGGATTTGGACAAAGGGCTAGTACATATGAGTAGTGATGAACATGTATTGGATATGTCACATCATTTGCATAAAAACAGGGTAGCTCAAGTATATTTTAAACATATAGGAGGAATTAAATTATTGATCATCTAGAGGCAAAAACAATCATTCTGTTGATGGTGATCACCCAATTAATGACTGGCATAGGGGATGGGGTAGCATCAGAATCTGAATGCAGTGAATATGAAGATTTAGTTGATAGTGATTATGAAAGTGAGTATGATGACATGTTGTATGAGACTTGTGTTGATCATGAAGCTGAATGGACTAGTTTGAAAAGTAACAGCCAAAAACAACGGTAACAGACATAAGGCATGGCTTAGACCTAAGTGACTTAGATGGTGATTCTAAGGACATTGAAAGTTGTTGTAGTTCATTTGATGGAGAGACTGATGCAAGAAAAAACCAAAATTTGAAGTGTTTAGGGAAAAGAAAATAATGAAAA